TCAATGCAAGTAATGTTTAAAGTCCTCCAATTCGGACTGGAACTAATTGCAAAGACTTGAAATCCCGTCCAGTCCGAATTGGAGGACTTTGAACGACTTCTCATACTTATTAATTTTTCGGGAGGGGAAAAAAGCGAAAGAAATACATATAACCGAAACATTTTGATTTATTGCATTTATTTCATCCTATAGCAATCAATCACGCTTCAAAATTTAGAAACCCAAACTCAATGTTTGGACTATTGGCCGATAACAAAACGGAAAGGGGACTGGGTCCGAACTTCAAAATCAAATTAAATAATGGTTCCAGAAAGAATAACCGCATCATGTGAGAGAGCACCATACAAAATGCTTACTGACTAAGTTTCATGATGTTTGAACTTATAGCAATAAAGTTATGGACATTCAAACCATGCCAAAATTACAAAGAAATGTATGTTGTCCAGCCAAAGCGTCCAGCCAAACATAAATTCTTTGTAATTTTCGAAAAATTATATTTCCCAATTCCAATGACTTAAACTTGCTCAAACTTTAAAATTTAGCTAATTTATAAGTGCTTTGTCTATCGACAACAGATTTCCGTAAGATTGTATCACTTTTAACATGTTCAGTCCCAGGCCCCTGCTCGTTTTGTTATCGGCCAACGTGTAGTTGTTTAAGAACGAAGTTTCACGTTGCCTTTGAACAGTAGTTGACGCTGTTAGAATACTAGCCAATCAGAGCGCACGATATACGGTATCTATCTTATAATGAAATATCGATTATTATCTATCCTATTATATTATTATTTAAAATAAGAAATAAAGCTCCATTAGAATCAAAACACACTATCTGATTTTTTTTGGTTGGTAAAGAAAGAATTAGGGTAACCATCGACCACTTATCAAACCTATAGCTTCTTATTCTTTGTTTCACTATACGTCACAGCRCTCATTTTGGAGGAWMTTCAACAAAGGAATTCTCATCAGTATCTATTGCTCATTCCTCTAACATGGACTGCTTTCAGACGTTGTGCGCACTACGATCGCGATGCATGATTTTCTTCACATTGCTCGCCTCTATGAAAAACATGGCGGATCAAGTCGCAAGATAGTTGAGTTTCAAACTGAAATTTGTTCGTTATGACTCATATTTATCTGACAAACACGCAATCATTCAAAGCGATATCATTATCTTTTCAAATGTATCCGATTGACGATAAAATATTTTTAAATTCTATAATTTTGAATTTGAGTTGATTCCCATACATTTTCAAAGTTTTGTGTGAAATTTTGCAGAGCTATTTCCTCTTAAGCCTGCGTAACCAGGCTTTCCTAGTCACTCCGAGAGAGTTTGGGCCTGATATGAGGGTTAGGAAGGAATTCAATCACGATACAGGCGGTTAATCATGCATATCAGGAGCCCATTACTAGGAGCCTTCCTCTTCCCATGGGCTTGTGGAACGGCATTTACCCCTCTTGGTGCTTTTTTAGATTTTTCCGCCATTCCCCCCGCGCTTATTGAGATGCCGAGTTGTGAAGAGCCGCCGGCCGCCGCTATCAGGTGTTTTTAAATTGAATTTTAAGTTGTACAAGTGAAGAAATTTTCGCTTTTACAAAAACTGTTTTGTAACAAAGGTTCAATGGCACCATTAACTATTATATTTAAATGTCTAAAGATAGTGAAAAGGTATAAAAAATAAGCGAAAAAGCTCATACATGAAAGAATCGACATTTCTGGTTTCTTTTATCGACGAATCTGATCAAAAAGCATGACAGTGAACACAAAATAATATATTCTTGTAATGAGTTCTTCACCTAAAAAATGTAACATCACAAATGTAAAAATTATCATTTAATAAATTTGTTTGTGACAGTTTTGTACAATATTTTGCATCTAAACAAAAACTCTTCACAAATGAAGTTACCACGGAATTTCGGCGTCTTTTTTCTTGAACAGCCGATAAACAGTCCTCTAAAATGTTGTTGTTTTATGTTCATATAAATTAGTCAACCCAAAAAGAGTTCCATTCAATGTCCATTTGCATGTAAAAATTTGCAAGCTTAAGTTACTTTCTTCAGTCATGTTCAGTTTGCTCAAGTTTTCTCAAGTTGAAAATTTTCCGCTTTTGTACAATTTGAACCTTCGTTCCTCGTCTTCAACAGCCATTTGATTTCAAATTCTGGTTATCAGTTAAAGATCCAGAGTGTGATTTGAGTCGATTTGTGTTGCTT